TGAAGAATGCTATAAGGTCGTATGAATATTTAAGAAAATTAATAACAAGTTCTCTTCTCCCTGTGCTGGCAGATAAGCAAACAGCACTTCTCGCCTTCTCTTGATACTTAAAAGAAAATACGAAAGGACAATAGGATGCCGTTAGGGTGAAATACATGTTTTATTCTGCAACAATAGCAAAAGTGAAAAGGAACAACGTGAACATTTAGACAAGTGCAAGTAGATAAATTATTATTTTATATTTTCTTACAGCCCACTGTAGGGCTATTTCAATTTAGCCATTAACTTCAACTTCATATCACTTTTCCCAATTTACTATAATTTTCTGAAAGTGGCTTTTATCTATCTCAAATGGTGAAATATAAAAAAACAAAACCAAAGCACACTTTCGAAACAAGGCCGGCGTGAAATTTCCTTTTTGAGTATCCATCCGGAGACTTTTCTCTTTCCCCAGTCATGATTGATTAAAACAAAAAATATAAACCAAGAGGGGGATAACTTTTGCTTTGATCCTTAAAAGTTATTTCCCAACAGCTTGTTTCCCTTTGTACAAGTATCGTAGAGAATGGATCTGTAAATGCACAGATAATATTCCGTTTGGTTAACTTTATTTTTAGTGCGGGCATGCGCTCATTCTGATTACAATTATATTATTGTCTGTCTATTACGCACCTGAGAAAGGTCTTGTACAGGGAAAGACACTAACGTTACTAAAAGTCCATTCATTACAGGACTGAGCGAAAATTAATATGCAAAACACTGAAAACCCCAAAAAGAATCAAGTTCGGGACAGCCTATCCAGGAAAAATTGTTGCCCTTATGGAATTTGAGTTAAAGGATCAGGTGCTCTGCAGTTGTACATGGAATACAGATTGCTAATAGAATCTTGACCTTGAGTCAAGAAATTTCAGTTTCTCTCTGACCCTGTTTTAACAACAAAGAAACAGAATCAAACTCCCATCTTAATCAAATTCGATCAAGAAATATTATTATATTGGTGATAGTAAAAATGTACAAGTATGGCGTGAGATACAGAAAACATTAACATTTTTAAAAAATCATTAAAAAGTCAAAGCACTAAAGAACATTTCAAAAGGATCTAACAAATAAAGATATAACAACAATACTACTAATAAAAACAACTATTCTGTATTAAAGTAAGTAATCATAGATAAAGTACTAGGAAAAGAAATTAATTATAAAGGATAATATTATGAAACCAAATCATTTAATATGAGAAGCTCTTAAACAAAATGTCCCTTAAAAAATCTATAAAAAGCATATTATATAGAATTTATTACCTATATCAGATTAAAAGTAATAGAAGAGGGAAGGTAGTCAAATTACAACCCTCCCCCCCCCCAAGAGAAAAGAATGAATAAATAAAATAAATTAATAAAAACAACTGAAAAAACCCCCCACAACACTTAGGCTAAAAGAGGGATCTGAAGAGAAAATGTAATGAAATGAAAACAATAACTTGGATAACTTATGATAGGTATCAAGAATCTAAGATAGCAAGCGAGTGTATTCGAAAATCAAAGAAATTATTTGGGATTGGGGGATGGGGGAGGGGGGAGTGGAGTGGGTAGAGAAGGATGCTCAAATACAATCTGCAACAGATAAAAAGTGTATGGATTTAAGGAGTCTATCAACACTACTAACTTATTAAAGAGGCGGTGAGAAAGGATTTGATCTTAATTAATCAGAATAAGTAGGTGCACATTTTGAAGAAAATAGAAAAGAACGACCGGAGATGAAGAAATAGAACACTGAACAACAATTCTCAAAGAACAATAAGAATCTACCATTGAGAAAATAAAACCAGAATATAGCTAAATACTGACGTTATATAATAATATATTTATCTTTAAACAGATCGTCATAATATATCTCGACGTGTACTTTTTTTCTATAACGTAACATATTAGAATATAAAAATAAATTAAAATTAAGAAAATGTAAACACACTTGCAGTGCCAGTCAAAATAACAGTCTAAATTATAGAAAATGTGTCAGTATAAGTGATTGTATTGTTTTGGTAAGTGTTTTATTGCTCTCGAAACTGCATACAGTCTTATGAGCGAGCAGAGTATAAGTGGAAGTGAGATAAAGATATTAGAAAAATGATATCCATGCGTCCCAAGGGTCAATCAATGTTAATTTGGACGACAAAAAGAGTTTAAACACGTCTATTAAATTCTGTCTGTGCATTCAAATGAATTATCTCAAACAATTGCAAATAACCTTTTCCATTCACAGATCCAGTTTAAAAAAGAAGAGATTCTCTGAAAGTTTTAATCAGTTTAATCATGGCTTCAGCAAACACATTTTACTTGTAATCAAATTAATTGAGGTATTGTTTTGATTACTTTTAGTGTGAACGCATCATTAAAAAATATTTCATGCATTCTCACTGCCTGTTTGTTTTTATGTTTGCCTCTGATATTTTATCAGTATTGTAATAGTAATTGATGGAAAATACAGACCCCTCCCCAGCCCCAACCCCACACCCAACCCCCTCTTCCCACCGGCACCCTTTTCCTCAAAAATAACTCGAGACTATATTAACTAGGAAGCGGGCTGCTTTGACTATGCCTGTCAGGACGAGCTAAACCTGACAGGGACACATCGTCTACGGTATATAAAGATACTTGGTGTCTTATGTCTCCATCGAAACGTTGTTGTTATCGATCCATCAACACAATTAGCCCATTTATCAGGAGGGCTTCAAATCTGCCTGTCTTTGCTACCCATGGCCATGGGGAATACAAAGTCTCAGTAGAAAGACCGACATTATGCTCGTTACAAATTCGTCTAGCACGAGAATCGAACTCGGGGCTTATGAGTGTTACACCAAAACCCCTAGCCGCAATAACCGCAGGCGCCAGTTCTACGGCAAAGAGCTCATGTTTTGGTACTGAATCAGGTAAGAAACCAACTATTGTACTTCAGGTTACGACCTTCACGTTACATTGTAAAAACAAAACAAAACATTTAGTGTTTTGTTCGAACGTATAATACGTTCTTAATTCGTGATGTCATGCTACCATGGCGTTATAATCTAATTGTGTCATTAAATGAAGGAGTTCAACATTTTCTTTGTTTATTTTGATTGTTGTCATGTTCTTTTTATTCTTAAACTGATGCTGAAGTCGATCTGCGGATCCTCGATTGAACATCAGGTATCATTTAAATCAGAAAAAGTTTTAAAATAAAACCAGTTGCACGGTTAGAACACATCACCATCTCATTTGGGGGAAAATATCACTTTCGAAACACGCATGTTATTTTACCTTTGATGTTTTCGATCAAAGATAGTAAATAACAAGATGGGCCACTCAGCCAAAAAAGTGTCCGCAGGAAGTATGCTCTTTGCTTCAGATGGCGCTGCAGTCTGTTTTGAAGCTCTCTTTCGTTTTTCCAGAAAAAGAATAGGAATAGCACCTCCTTGCGTGCGCAGATCGACTGCTGTTCATCAGTAGTTCGGGTTCGTTCAGTGCGGAGTTTTAGGTTATTTATATTTTAATGATCTCTCGCCTTTCATTCTAAAGTCAAATTAAACGAAGAAAACAATCACCCTTTCCTCCGGAAGAGGTTTTTTGTCAGCGTAACCATTTTAAAAAAGCGTTCTTCCGAAATTCAACCCAAAACTTGCTAGTTTCACTTTGATTTTTAAAAACTCAAGTAGGATAACTCTGTTCGCAAAAGGTGCGCTTTTGCGAAGAGGGCGCCACCGAATTTTGAGGACACTTTTTTAATTGGTTCAAAGAGAGAAGTGGCCCCTCTTGTTATGTAGACTCTTTGTTTCGATGGAACAGATTACATCATCTATTATCTATTTGTGGTGGCTGAACTTTGCTATTCAAAAGGCTTTTTAATGGTTTCATCTATCGACATGTGGTTTTCGCCAAAATATTCTTTGAAATAATCTCCAGATCATGGCACACTTCGATTTTTCAGTTTTGAGACAGTTTTGCTGCAAAAAGCTAAATTTCTTTATTTCGTCGATCGCTTTTGTAGGCCGACGCTTCTGTCTCTGTAATTTTAGAAAATCCATTAGGTTTGTTTATTTCAAGTCGTACTTCCGTTCGATACTATCGCGCATTGTCGCACAATACTGGGCACTTTTTTCAGTGTGCGACCCATATAGATCTAGCCTTATGTTTTATTTTTTTACTTGGAGCTAAATTCGACTGTGATCCTTTCGTTTGATGCCCATCATCGCTTTTTCTGGACTCCTTTGTCAAATTATTTTTCTTGCTACTGGGAACAATGTAAATAGATCTTAGATAAGAATCTAGATCTAGACCTAGATAGCGCTTGACCATGCTGAAAAGAAAAAGAAGTTCTGCAGTTGGAACCTCCCGAGCTCGTAAAGGTCGAGGTGGTCTAGTTCAACAACAAAATGATGGGGACTCTCTAGATCTAAATCTCCCAAAAGCATTCCTCTACATTGTCAATTCCTTTCAGTACGAGTGCTACATTGGAGAACAGACGACACAGTGTACACACTGCCTGGCCATAAGATTATCATATGAAACACAAGGTATGTGCTGTAGCAATGGCAAAGTTGATCTGCATCCAAAACCACCTCCTGAACTGCAAATCCTTCAGTCTGGTGTGTCGACACTGTCCTCTCACTTTCTGGAGAAAATCAGGATGTACAACAATTGCTTTCAGCCCACATCCATGGGCTATACCGATGCAACCCTCAATGGATGGAATCCACAGTTTCGCGTGCAGGGTCAAGTATATCATCGTATCGGCTCTCTCCTTCCTGCCACCCAAAATGAGTATTCATTTCTGTAAGTTTATTTCATGGAAAGTGATGCAGCCTCAGAGCGCAGAAACAGTCTTTTCCAAGTACTTGAGCCTGGGATCATTTCTGATCTTTAAGCCATGTTGCATTGCCATAATTCGTATGTCATAATCTGAAATGTGCTTATGAATTTGCACGCTCACATTTCGAATAGTCTGTAGAAGTGTCATGCAAAGTTTCGTGGGCCTAGGTTAATTTGTCAATGAGCTAGAATTTTTTTAACGCTGTATGAGGAAAGCGAAAAAGCTATAGACACTGCCTCTATGATTTTGAAGACGTCGGTGTGTTCCTTTTTCGGTGTAGCAGCCCTATCGTGGTTTATTATTTTCTTAGTCTTTTTGTGATGGTGTATGGCGAAATCCGTATTTTGTGATTGTGAAGGGCTAGACAGCAATACACTAAAGCAATGTAGATCTAGAAGCCAGGTATGACTGTGAAATGCTAGACAGCAAGGTACATGTAGATGTAAAATGCCTCTGCGGCGTAGACCAGTAGGAGCAGTGACGCCAAGGCGTCGACCCCGAGCAAAGCCGGGTGCTCAGCTAATATAATATATTTATACTTTCCTGCTATGAGACCAGCTCGATTCAATTTGCGAAAAAAGGGATTAATTAGATTTAACGCCAAATTCAACACTGTTGGATATTCTCGAGTTGGTACCTCGGAATTATTTTGGTGTCAGTTTAAAAAAAGACTGTATTAATCAAATTGGATGGAGAGCCTTTAAAACACTTCAAAACACCCAGTTCACAACACTTCTTGTTGGGTTTCTAACCAGGGTCATCCGCTCCCCTGTTCTGCATGATACCAACTAAGCTAACAATTAACTCCCCCCCCCCCTCCCCCACCCAAATCCCCCCCCCCAAAAAAAAACTCTAAAAATTTCAATTGATTACATAATGTTCTTCATGCTCAAGAAAAAGAAAAGAGTTAGGAAAACCCAAACAAGGAAGAAAACAACGAAAGAAATATTGTTGATGAGCTGCCCAATCCTTCTGTAAGTGATGGCGGGCGCATGCGCAGTGCCAGACGTCTCGTCCAGATGGGCTTCCTCCGTTTGTTGAGGATGTACTCGATTGAGAGACAGCTTGGAGCTGGGGCACTTGTTTTCGGTGACTTTGGTGACTGTTGGGAGACTGCCCATCTTGTTTTCCTTTTTGTTTTTGTCAGTTCGCTGTGCATGAGTTGAAATAAAGAGACTATTGGAGTTAATGTTTTCACTTGTACTTTACTGTTGGTCTTATTTTCTTTTTATATAAAAACGAATTGGAAATAAGATTGAGTAAGAGTTTGAGGAAGGGTGGGATGGGGGCAGACAGACCCACACTCTGTCCACTTATCTGTCTACTACTCTCTCAATCTCACTGTCTCTCAGTCTCTCTCTCTCTTTTCTTTCTCTCTCTCTCTCTCTCTCTCTCTCTCTCTCTCTTACAAACGAACAAACACAAACACAAGCAACACAAATGCACAAGCACGCACACACACACACACACACACACACACACACACACACACACACACACACAAATACACACATACAACACAAGTGCACAAGCACACTAACATAGAAACGCACATACACACACACACACACACATACACACACACACACTCACACACTCACAGACACTCACACATGCGTTCACACACGCTTTCATAATCCTTTTTATCAAATTTCCAATGTGCGCAAAAGGAAAATAAGTACAAATATTATTGTATACACATTACACGTATTACTCGCACACATTATACACATGAGCCATATTGTCATGTAGAGCGTGGCTCATCATCATCATCCAGTGCCGGATCTGCGACAGACATCTGCAATCATGGTTCTCCATTCACTCCTTTGCTCGGATGCTCTAAAAAAAGCTACGTTTCCCGGATCTTTCCATGTTACCCATTTGTTTAGGTTACCCAAGTATGTTGTTCTGGGCTTTCCCCTGCCTCGCTTGTCCTCAGTTTTGCAAGTGAGAGCTAGGTGTTCAAGACCCCTATGTCTATGTATGTGGATGTCAAAAAGAATTTGTCGTTTTAGAAAAATCCATGTGGATATATGTCCAAAATAAGTGCACTAATTACAGCCCCCAAGACCGACACACAATAATTTGCAAATACAAAAACCTACCTCCTCCATGTTGTGGAAGACGACCACGATGATGCAGACAATAACCGCCAGGACGGAGACGACGAGGAGGATGAAGATGTAGATAACGACGAGGGCGGAGGTGGCCGAGGACCGTGATACCATAGAGCTGGTGAGGCTCATGAACAGAGCCAGAGCCAGGAGCACGGTGATACCTGGAGGAAGGACGGGCGAAGGTCAGAGGAGTCAGAGGTCACTACCTTCTTTTTGTTATGACGATATTTTTCAAAATTCTTAATGTTACCCCTTTCCATCATTGACCCTTCCCTCCTCCCTTCCGTGCCCCACAATTTACCAATTTTGGATAATTTAGGAGGCGGGCTTTTCTCCTGTCAATCATCGAGGGAGCTCAAGGGATGTCCCTCCTGCAGGCCACTCGCCTTGATGCAGACAGACGCATGTGTCTCCCCGCGACACCCTCCGGTACAAGCGGAAGAAAAAAGAAAAGTAAGTCATCGTCAACGCTAGCTAAGAGGGACACAACATATTAGCGGTAGAAAGAACGAGTTTCTTGTTTTAAAAAATCCACGCCCAGTCGGCAATCGAACTCGGAACTCCCTCGAGCGATAACGAAACGCCTGACCCTTACACCACTGAGACGGTCCTGACAGACCATGAACTTACGCTATCCAATTACGTATTTTGCGAATTGTGTTGGGTATATTGTTTTATTTATTATGTATGTGCATGTGCTCAATTCGTAACGATGTGTAAGCGTGCGCGTGTGATAAGCAGGTACAAGTGTGTGTGTGTGTGTGTGTGTGTGTGTGTGTGTGTGTGTGTGTGTGTGTGTGTGTGTGTGTGTGTGTGTGTGTCTGTGTCTGTGTGTGTCTGTGTGTGTGTACGTGCGCGTATGTGTGTGTGTATGTGTTTTTGGCGTGAATGTGTATGCACATATGTGCGTGTAATGTGTGCGTGATGTGCGCACGTGTTTGTGTGTGTATCTGTGTGTGTTAGTGTGTGTGTGTGTGTGTGTGTGTGTGTGTGTGTGTGTGTGTGTGTGTGTGTGTGTGTGTGAGTGTGTATGAATATTGTTCGTACATGCAATTATGTAAAGCACCAAGAGATGGGTTTACACGGGAGTGGGCACTATAGAAATGACCTTCATTATTAGTAGTAGTATTATTATAAGCTATTACAGTTTGAATATTATTACCTGGGAAGGGTGGGAGGAACTATGAATGACAAAATGAGCTTGAACGAGTCTTTTTTACCTGTTTTCCAGCCTCCAAATCAACCAGTCCTCAGGCCTGTGAGAATAGACGTTCCTTTCCAAAAATCCACTGTTTTTCGCTTAACAAGAACAATGTATTTGTACATTTGAGTAATTTTCAGTAGGGTTAGAGCAAACACTTTTTTTCTCGTTTTTAGATGAGGTGTTAACTTGGTTTCCGTAAAAAAAAAAACCACAGGTTTCTTTGCCCTTCAAAGTAAAGTAAATTAAAGTAAAGTGAAAGAAAGTAAAATAAAGCAAAGTAAAGCAAAGCAAAGCAAAGCAAAGAGAAGTAAAGTAAAGTAAAATAAAGTTAAAAAAAAAGCAAAGTAAAGCAAAGCAAAGCAAAGTAAAGTAAATTAAATTAAACTTAAGTAAAGTAAAGTTGTTTGTTTTTGTAAAGTGTTTTACGGCGCTCGCAACTGCATAAGGTCATATTATGAGCGCGCGGGACACACCTAATATTTTTTGTTGGTAGGAAATTTTGAATTTTGCCTGGGTGGCGGCCGAAGCCTACTCTTATCGATTTTAGACCACCAAAGGATCTTTAACGTGCACAACTTGCACTCGGGCCCTCCGAGATTTTTCGCCCTTGTCCGAGAAGGCTGGGTGTACATCTTTCCTTCCAGAAGATCAGGGGTGTGGCAGAAAGACAGCAGTAAGGAGGCGCCAAGGAGTATCAATAGAAAGGCTGCAGAAAGAGTCAGGAGCCCAGAGGAGGGGGCAAAGGAGGTGATGGGGTGGGGGAAGAAAGTGGAAATGAAAGCAGATGACAGAACATTGCTAGAGAGCAGGAAAGGGGGGGGGGGAAGGAGACCATTTTAGAGAAGAAAATTTTTTGGTCGCTACCCGGATTCGGACCCGGGACCTTGGAAACAGAGGCCAACACCTTAACCTCTAGGCCATGAGAGCCCCATAAAGTAAAGTAAAATCAAATAGAGAGTAGAGTATTAATAATGACCAGTTGTCATACAACATGCGCCACATGCACATTCAGTTAAAACTCATTATATTATGTAGTTGTCAACAATTAAGAAGTGGGTCACTAACGAGTGATTTGGAGTGGTTTGCTCCTTCTTCCCAGTCAAAGTCATCTATCGTACTTATCTCTCCTTCTTCTATTCTGTGTATGCTACTCTCTAGTAATACCTTCAATCTTTGGCACTTGCGTAACCTGTATAATTTGTCATACGTGCTGTAAAGCACTTACTACAACTAAATTATTTAGAAAACAATTAGACAGTCTCCAGTTACCGTAGCTGATTTTCTCTCCAGACTCCACGGGTATAGCAAAGACAAAGATGACGAGGAGGGTCAAGAAGATAGCTGGCAGGATCGTTGTCATCATAACGGCGAATGGCTCCCTTTTCATTCGAAACCGTATCTGTTGAACAAATAATAGTATTATTACTTTACTTTTATTTTTGCGCTTGTTTCCGAAGCTGAAAGTTCTGGTTCGAGCCTCGGTTTGGACGCGGATATTTTTTCGCCCCCTCCTGCCCACCCAGCAGTAACGCGTACTTGACATCGAGTTGGTGAAGTAAAGGTGACATGGAAAGGAACTGGCCACCCGACAGCAGTATTATTTTGCCGAAGGTCCAGGATGTTGTCTCACTAACAAGGCAATCCTCAATGTCCGAATCGGATATGAGAAACACTTTATACTTTTACTCTTACTTTTTTCCTTCATCTGGTATCCTAAAGATGTCGAGAGGAAGGGGGCGCGGTGTGGGGGGTAGAGTGTGCAGTTTTGAGTCCTGTGTTAAGTGGGAAGCATCTGTGATAGATATGTCATGTTGTTCCAATACCTTTTAAACCCTTGTACAGCCGGGCCCTTCTTGGTCTTCCTCTTGATTTGAAGCCAGATTCACGGGCGTGGTAAGCTCTTGCCACTAGAGTTGTTTTTGAGGGATTGTGTTTACACTATTGTCTTCTCTATTTGTGATTATTCGATTGATTTTTTGATTTTTTTTGCTCATCGCCATTTATGTTCATTAATACGCTTTCGGCTGGATTATACTGAAAAACGTTGACTAAAGGCACAGAAATGTCAATTTTAAATTTTCAAGAACTCTCAAAGAAATTACCATGCAAACTATGGCAGCTTTTTTCTCACTAATTTTACCTCTTACATCAGGTGACCGCACTTACTTAATTATTTGCAAATATTAGTATTAAAGATAGATAAATACCATTATGACAATAGAAATATAAATGAACACGCTTTAAGATGGTACTAATAACTCAATATACCCAAAACTTGGGGAGTGCCTGATTCCACCGCCTCGTGACACGTTTATTTATCTACATCAAACGAAACAAGCCGTTTACCTCTATCCTAGGTTTCCTGTCCATGCCGTTGGAGTAACTTGTTCGAACACTAGAGCCGAGCAATATCCATTCACCAAAGGTTCTATATTCGGATGAAAGGACCCTTAGAGCCACGAAGTCAATTTCGTTTTTACCACCAGACATAGTTTTGAACTGGAAAAGATAGTACTTTTTTACATATGAAGAAATAAAGAAAGAAAAAAGAAAACAGCCTCTCCTAGGGGTTTTAACAAGCTCTTAAATCAATGTACACTCGATTCTAGGTCGAGGCAGTATTAATTTTGTGTAGTATCAACATTTTTCTCTTGGAACGTAGTGTAGTGAAAAGGTGAGGGAAAGAATGTTAAAACTGTAAACAAAAAGAGGATTAGAAAGAAAAAAGTAGAGAATGGAAGAAAGACAGAGATGGAAAAAGAGAAAGAGAATAGCTAAATCGATAGACAGATCGATAGATAGATAGATAGATAGATACATACATACATACATACATACATACATACATACATACATACATACATACATACATACATACATACATACATACATACATACATACATACATACATACATACATACATACATACATACATACACACATACATACACACATACACACACACACACACACACACACACACACACACACATACATACATACGTACATATATACGTACATACATACATACATACATACATACATACATACATACATACATACATACATACATACATACATACATACATACATACATACATACATACATACATACATACATACATACATACATACATACATACATACATACATACATACATACATACATACATATTCCACATATTTATATAATTATATATATTATTATTATTATTATTATTATCATTATTATTATTATTATTATCATTATTATTATTATTATTATTATTGTTATTATTATTATTATTATTATTATCATTTTATATATATTTACCTGGTGGTATCAGTACGTTTTTTTTTACCTGAGTATGAAGGAGTGGAGCTACGAACTTGAAATTTGAACAGGTTCAAGATACATCTGAACTAAGAATGAACACAATAATTGTGAATTTCTGATGGTCAGTTCAGGTTATACAGCAAATTGTTTGATTGCATGATTAGCAATTTTCATTTATTTTCACAAAATGGGAAAAAAATTAGGCCTAATGAGAGCTGTGATGAAGTTCCTTCATCTCTAAGGAAAAAAATGAAATGTCAGTAGTGTATGGAGATATCTGCCCAAGCTATGACGTGGTCAAATTTTAGTGCAAGCGATTCAAATTTGGTAACATGTCCATTGAAGACAACCCTCGAGAAGATCGCCCTCTCTCAGCCGTGACTGAAGACAATGTTTCAAAAGTCAAGAAGATTGTGCTGAATGACATGCACGTTACTCTCCCACAACTTTATGCTGAAACTAGCTTGAGCTACTGATCTGTTCAGACAATACTACCTGACCATTTAAGTATGATGAAAGTGTCTGCAAGATGGGTGCCGTGTCTCCTTACCCCTCATCAAAAAGAACAGAGAACATAGTGCCGTTTGCAAATGATTGACTTGTTTGATGAAGATCCTGACAACTACTGTTTTGACCGTTTAGTAACAATGGATGAAATCTGGGTCTATCAGTTCGACCCAGAGTCAAAATCTGCTTCAATGCAATGGAAAACACCATCTTCCCCCACCCCCTAAAAGCCAAAGTGCAGAATTCATCTGGCAAAGTGATCTTTCTTTTAAAAGGAATTTTCAAGGTCAGTCATCGCTGGCAAACGTGTGTTCTTGCCGCTGGTGCCTACATAGAGAAATAAGTGTCAACGTACCAAATTTAAAGGTCGTAGCTTCACTACTTCATACTCAAGTTAAAAACTTATTGATATCCCCTCGTATAAAATATATGGCTGTTGAGTTCAGAAAATAAAACTCAATAAAATAAACTCTTTGAAAAAGATATAGGTTGCAAAAAATGGGAGAGCCATAGCTGTCCTTTACTGTCTTAACTGTGTCTAAAAATCTGACCTGGGCAAAGGCCTGTGGGTAGTTGCAGTATGGCCCGTGAGTCGACTCAGTAATTGATAACAAAATGTGGCACAGGATGAGTCGACTATAACTATAAAAATAGCCCCAACAAACAAACAGACAAACACAAAATTCGTCTTACCTGTTAAAATTAGTAGCTTCTGGTCAAACTGGAACTAACAGATAAGCTATTATGTTACTTTATAAAACATATTGAATGACCTGAAGATTTTGCTATTCTCTCTGCTTTAGTCTCACATTTAAGAAATTGGGTATTTTCACTGAATTAACCCAATTTTCACCCGCTTTGGCAAGAGAGATATTGTAACTGGAGAATTTCAACAGCTAACTCCTGTTTTAAATAGTTTACTTTTTCTAACCAACAAACATTCTGTAATGACTTTTAGCAAGATTAACCTTCCCAAAAAGTCGCTTCAACGTTGGATTCTAAACAACTAAAATGTGTATTAGAGCTATAGCTTTGAGTTTTGAGATTTTTCACCCTCTAAAATGTATAGAAACCGAATTAGCCGTTTAGAATACTGTAGTGACGATATTTTTCAGAATCGCGTAATCCAGCAAGCTACTTGAATACGCTAGACCATGCCTGATATAAGACAGTGAACAAAAGAAATGAGAACTCAAATAATAGGTACCAAGAGCGTGCAGAACTGTTCGTCTAAAGAAAATTGTTTACATCAAAGAAAGTGTTTCAGAACCTTGTTTTGCAGTGGCCTCAAAAATAGGCTATTAGATTATTTTGTTCACTCAACTTTTAGACCCGTATGAACCGATCTGAGAAGATAAATTATTAAACAAATCGATTTTATTTTACGTTGTTTTAACTGCGGTGAGACGAAAGTTAGCAAGTGGGTGGTTGGCGGGGGCTTTGGTATGGTTTGCTCTTTCTTTCCTATCAGACACCTATCGTCCTTAACTCCCCTCCTGTTTTATATGTTTGTTACTCTCTTGTAACACCTCTAATCTTCTGACGCTCATATGACCTTATGCAGTTGCGAGCGCCGAAAAACGTCTTCTAAACTGAATTGAAAGTTAGCAAGCTGTTATAATACGTACCATGAGCGTGCATGCCTGTTCGTCAAAAGGAAAATGTTTTAGATCCATTCGGCAACTGACTGGGAACAGTCCACCAGGTTTCCATGACGTGCTGCCATTAGCCATGACAATAGTAGGGCTACACAACAAGAAAAACCAACAAACGGGTGACAAAGTTGTCTCTCGAATCTGTCTCTCGAATCTGTCTCTCGAACTGTCTCTCTGTCTCTTCTATCTATCTCTCTGTTTCTCTCTCCCTCTCCCTCTCCCTCTCTGTACTATTTCTGTCTCTCTCCATCTTCATCTCTCTCCCTCGCTCTCTATCTTTCTCTCTCTCTCTCACTTTCTCTCTCCCCCTCTCTCTCTCTCTCTCTCTCTCTCTCTCTCTCTCTCTCTCTCTCTGTGTGTGTGTGTGTGTGTGTGTGTGTATGTGTATGTGTGTGTGTGTGTGTGTGTGTGTATGTATGTGTGTGTGTGTGTGTGTGTGTGTGTGTGTGTGTGTATGTCAGAGTCTCAAATACTCCCAAAGCAATGCTCATCAGAGATCAAGAACAACAATCGTCCTCGTTGCTGTTGCTGGAGTTTATTTCTCGAAAAGACATTATACCAGCATCTAAGGTGTAGCGGTAAAGTGCCTTGTTGTCTAACGCAGAACACCTGAGTTCGATTCCCAGGTGGGGAGAAATTTTTATCGAGTATTTTAATGTTTCTGCTCGGACATTAAATTCTTCTCAACGCAGGTTGGACATGACAAGCAATTTTGGAGTCCACCCTTAAATTACGTTTAAAAAATATTTTAATATCGAGGGTAGTTTTAAAATAATGTACATCAAATGTGAGCTATTTTGCATCAAGAGTATACATTTATTTTTGAGTCATAATAGAAATAATATCTATGTAAACGTGAACAAACGAGTGCTGGGCCACACCATTTCGCTTAAGAAGGAAGTTTTTTACTTATAGACGCCGGTTATAAATGAAACCGTCAAACTCACGCATTATCGTCCTCAAAGATGTCCCTGTCGCCAACGGTATTGACCACAATAAGCCGAGGTCTCCAGATTCTGATCGGCATGGGGGACATCATTTCAATGCCACCATATTTAGCGGGGTCCCACGCCAAACGCTGAGTATGGGAACAAGAACAGAAAGATGTGTCACGACACGGCACAATCAGGCGCTTGTCAATTTCTGGACATATGGAATTATTAGTATAATCTTAAAGGTGGTTCATTTGTCTTTCTTTTGATGAAAACAAAACACATCTGTCTTGAACAGAAGTTGAGATATTTGCGATTCGAGGAGTTGAGTATCGCCATGGATCAGAGGTCAAACATTTGTGAGAAAATGGCAGCCAAAGTTTGGTGACCTCCAAAGATTGAAATCCTGGGAAACTACAATTTGCATCTTTTGTATCTTTGGTGTCGGTTTTTGTTAAGTAAAAATCCAGGCAGGACTATGTCGTTAAGTGGTTATAAAACACGTTGGACACAAAACAAACTGACAAAAAAATTGATAAAATTGCCGAACATGAGGGGGAAAAAAGTCGATTTCTTTGATTACTTTATCTTGGCGAGAGCCTGATTTCACCAAAATGCCACTAAAATGGGTATTTGACACAGCTGAAAAAACTTTTGGAATGTATTAATTATTTGGATAACGCTGCAAAAAGAAGTAAATATAGACTCTCCAAAGATCACAGGTGTGGTCGCTTCCAATTTGTGAGGGTGTTATGTTATCAATTGTCATATCCTCTTTGGAAGGCTGATAACATGTATTTTTTTGCTTAAGATTAAATATTTTATTTCCGAGTTTGCAAAGAAGTCAAATTAGCAATATAGAATGTTCTTTCAACAGCAACCTATACGAGTAACCTTTGAAGTGGCTTTTCAAAGTTACGAAGTATTTCATTTTTGTGATAGGTGTGTTAATCCCCTAAAAATGTTGAATCTTTCAGGAAATAAAATGCATGCAAACTTACAAATGATCTAATCTTTCAAGCACTGGTGCAGCTTTGAGGACCCAGGAACAAAAATAATCTACCAAGAACAATTTTATTTTACACCGCAGAGTTTCCATAAATAAAGTTAGCATTGAATATCAAAGAGATATTAACAGTATCCAACCTGGCATTACGTGACACATCTACTAATTTGCGAGTTATGAAAAAGCATAGCATTATGTAATGTATAATATCTATATCCATATCTATCTATCTATCTATCCAACTGTCTATCCATCTATCTATCTATCTATCTATCTATCTATCTATCTATCTATCTATCTATCTATCTATCTACTTGTTTATCTATTCTGAGATAGTAGCAAGGTAAAGTGAAATGGGGGGGGGGGAACGGGGGGGGGGGAGGATAAACTGAAAACGATAATGTAAATAAATCAGACCTGGTCCTCCCACGTAAGGTACAGGAATCCGTTACAGGTGAAAGTGGACGTGACGTCATCCAGTCCAGCTATGGCAATGAGATCAAAGCCGACTCCGACGTTCACGGCATGGGATTGGTTGTTGAGTGGCCTGATCTGATGGGAAAAGTGATGATGATGAGGATGATGAGGATGCTGCTCTGCTGCTGCTGCTGCTGCTGCTGCTGCTGATGATGATGATGATGATGATGATGATGATGATGATGATGATGATGATGATGATAAAACTAACTTTTTGGCCATAGACGTTGTCAACATGTACAACAACATACCACACCAAAAAGGTATTGCTCGGCCCTCAGAAGCCTTGCACCCTACAACACACGTCCAACATTAGAAATTTGCCAACTGTTGAAACTAGTCCTCACCCTCAATAATTTTCCATTCAACAATCAAAATTTTCTCCAGCTGACTGGCACAGCGATGGGTAGTCCAGTAGCCCCCTCTTATACCAAATTTTTTATGGCTGAGTTTTGGCGCCAAAACGTCTCCCCAGTTGTACTTATGCGTTACACGGATGACGTTATCGCCTTGCACAATGGTTGCTCTGAAACTACCCAAATATTTCTCACTGATCTGAACAAGGTGCACCACTACATCAAATTTACTTATTCCAGCCCAGATAAGTCCACTTCTTTCCTGGACATGTCCCTTCACATTGCAGATAACCAAATTGAGACAGACCTGTATAAAAAAGCTGCCGACTCTAATCATTACCTCCCACCTTCTTCAAACCATCGTAAATATATATTCCGTTCTGTGGTCTATAGTGGTGCCCTTAGACTCCGCGGCATTTGTTCCCGTGAAAATTATTTTAAACAACGGAATTCACAGCCAACGGAATTCACAGCCAACCTTCTTCACAGTGGGTACAGCAAAAAAATTTTTAACGCCCATTATGGGGAATGTCAGCAAATTGAACCGCACAACCCTTCTGACCTACAAACCCCTTAAGCTAAAACAGAAAAGACCATTTTTCGTCGCAACTCATCACCAAAAACTACCTAATGTACATAAAATCCACAGCCAACACAAAAGCATCTTTGAAAAATGAGACAAAATGAAAGCCTGTTTCCCCGACCCTCCTCTGATTGCACTTCGTCAGCCTCCCAATCTTGGCAACCTCCTCATTCGCACTAGAGCAGTATCACCCACGTCCTCACCTCCGATAAACCCATGCTCCCCGACTCAAAATTATCCTTGTCAAAAACCTAAATGCAGAATATGTGCTTACATGAAAGTGGCAACTTTGTAGAAGCCCCCCCTCATTTAATTTCAAAAGTCAGTATTAGTTTCATTTATGCCAATTCTTGTTGCGCGTTTGTATGAGTGTTAGGAATCGTTGTAACACCACTGCCGTTGCAAACGCTGTGGTCAAATTTATCTTTGGGAGATATTTTAAGATTCTCATTGCCACTGCCATTGTCATTCTCGTTATTATTGTCAAAATAAAATAAAGTGTTTTTCAATCTCACATCAGTATCGTACACTGAAGAGTCCAGTTTGTCTTCGAAAAGAGTCTTTGTCTTACTATACGTTTGAGCAGAAAGCGGTACCACTGCAATAAACAAAAGGAATAAACACTTTATCGCAAGAAAACCGCACTTTTCCTGTGACACGATAAAACACAACATTTTGCGTCTTCATTCCTTTAGAGGCATCCGTTCTTCTGTTCATAGCTTTGTGTTGCAGGATGTACCGCGCCCACACTATTGTTTTCCGTTGCTAGGAGCCACAATAGCGGCATGACTTAAGCTGGAACAGTTTTGTTTTTCCAATGACGAGAAGGGAAATCCGCAAACACGCGCTGCAAAAGTACTTTTTGATTTTGAAATGCAGATTCGTGTCTCGACAAGAGTGACGTGCGGCCTTTCGTTTGCAATGCACTTTAAAAAACATTTTTAAACGACCTTAAGAACCACTCGTTTTTGACATTTTTGGATAGAGTAATGTTGGATGTATCAAGTAAGCAAACTTTCAATATCGACTGGCGTTAGGACAGTTGATTCACTCCTGGAACAACTGCACGGCCTTTTGTTCCTGACGCTTCAAATAATATTTACTCAGCTGAAAGGAATCTTGTATTGTCAATAGCTTTGATTTTCATATAAAATTTTATAATTTTTATATTTGCTTGCAACGGTCGCTTTATCGTAATATCGTCCCTTTTCCTAAGCCGTCTACCTTTTTTCTGACTCTAATTCTGTCATTTAAGCATGAAAGCTACTAGTTAACATAAAAACCCATTCATTCACTCATGAATTTTTTACTAGCTGGCTTATACACTCATACACACTTACGCGTAGACACATTCACAAAGAAACTCACGTCTCTATCAGTGTTCCCTTTTTTTTTTTTTTTGCTCTTACGCTCTGATCATAATTTACCACAGAGGCATTATTCATGTAACTCATCCTTTTCTAAACGTAAATGAAATCGTCGTCCATTTTCCACTCTCCCTCACAGCCAGAACAACGGCAAGAACACGAGCAAGAAAAACGATAACAACTGACAACAATGACAACTTAATATTAAAGCATAGTAATATAATATCTTATTATAAGCTTATAGACCCACTATGGGTCCATCTTCTTTCTCAGAAAAGAGGTGAAACGGGGGAAAACTGAACAACAAGAGAGAGAGAGAGAGAGAGAGAGAGAGAGAGAGAGAGAGAGAGAGAGAGAGAGAGAAAGTCATTCTGGATGATGTCATGGTCGCTAAATTCTGTACTTGTTTTGTTGTGTAATGGCAGATGACCTTGACTGGATGAACCCGATGTTGTCATAGTACACAGGCCTGAATAAAACACTGAGCCCGTGAGCAGCATAGCGAACTTTGGGTCTCTCGTGTACATTAGAGCGCCAAACTGGAGTAATAAAGAAACGAAAGTTACAAAGTGTGTTTTTTCTTAATGTAACTGGTACGTGTTTTAAGGCGCTCGCAACTGCATGGGGTCATATGAAAGTGCGGGACACTTTAAACCTTTTCACTTGGTAGGAAATGTTGAACTTTGCCCGGGAAGCGGTCGAAGCCTACTCTTATCGATTTCAGACCACAAAGGGATCTTTCACGTGGGCAACTTGCACATGGGACCTCCGAAATTTTTCTCCCTTGTCCGAGAAGGCCAGGTGAAGAGCTTTCCTACCAGAAGATGAGGGGTGTGGCTGAAAGACAGCAGTAAGACGGAGCCAAGGAGAAGCAATAGAAAGTCTGCAGAAAGAGGAGCCCAGAGGAGTGGACAAAAGAGGTGAGGGTGTGGGGGCAGGAAGAGGAGACGAAAGCAGACGACAGAACAATGCTAGAAAGCAGGAAAGGAGGTGAAAGGAGACAATTTTAGAGTAGACAATTTTTTTCTGTTGCTACCCGGATTCGAACCCGTGGCCATTGAATGAGAGGCCAACACCTTAACCTCTAGGCCACGAGAGCCCCCAAGTTACAAAGTTGATTTTCTTGAAATTTAATTTACATTCCAATGCATTTACAATGCAGGAAGGTGGTATTTTTGGGGCTACAAAGGTAATCGTAACATGTTTCTTTATCTTTTTCAATTAATAATAAATGTTAGTGCTAGAATACATTATCATTATAAAGCCATTCTCTATCAAACAAGAATAATATATTTATAGTAATGCTGCAACCAAAATACACGACAATAATATGTCTTATACACCACTGTGAAGAAACAAATAACGCGAATACGTCAAAATAGGTGTGTGTGTGTGTGTGTGTGTGTGTGTGTGTGTGTGTGTGTGTGTGTGTGTGTGTGTGTGTGTCAACATGCAACAAGGCACAATAATCCGTAAGGAGGGTCCGAGGAACACCGATTCCTTGTCACTGTTATTAGTGTTATACCTGCTTTGATTTATGGCGCGCCGCATGTAGTCTGTATCTTGCTTTACGACCAGGAAACAGTTACACTTTGTACGAGGGCCCAACTTATACTGTAACACTCGGGATAGGGAACACACGGGCGTCTCTAGGAACGTAGAATTATGTACTGCCCACTCCTGGCTAGTCTTAAAGGATGGCCAAGAAACGACAGCTGAATAGTTGGCTGTATAAAGGCGGTTTCTTGTGTTCATCGTATGCTTGGAAGTACTCTGGTGATATGAGGATGGGAGCATAAAGAGAGCACAAGGGCATTATGTCTTGAGAGTTTTATGTTGGTAGCATCATTTTACTACTATATTTCGTATGGTGGATTGATTGGTTTATGTTCCCTAGCGTAGGTTTATCGTTTTGAAGCTCAGAACCTGAGATACTATAACGGCATTGCTGTCCTTATTCTTTATAATAGATATATAGGACCCCCCAAAGAGTTACTTTTAAATGTAGAATGTTTACGCCACTATTATTGACGCAATATGGATCATTTAGGAGGCGGGCTTTGACTTTACCTGCCAGGGCCAACAGGGGCTGAGAGGGACACAAGCTCTTAGAATTTTTTTTAAGACACTAGACAAAGACTCTCCACATGATATAATCGAACTTAGGTCTTCTACATGCAACGCTAAAGTGCTACACCACTACACCAGAAACGCTGATACAGATTTGATTAACTTGGGGAAAAGGAATTAGGGAATGTGTCCATTCCTTGCTCGTTGTTGAACGTAAGTAATTAATTTTTTTTTCTCATATTATAATATAAAAAGGGACTTTCCCAGTCTTAAGATTAACGTGTTCGCCTCTCGTTCAATAGGTCATGTGTTCGAAACCTGACAGCGACGGTAAATTTTCTTCTCTAAAATGTTCTCCTTTCACCTCATTTCTGGTTCCTTAACCATGTTCTATCGTCTGCTTTTGTCTCCACTTTCATCGAGTATAGATCGATCAGGCTTTCTGCTCGTAGCACGGGTTTGCTCTGACGGTCAGGACCCTGACTCCTAAGTTATCTAAACCGTGTCGACAGAGGCGTAAAAAATACCCCCCCCCCCCCTCTTACAGACTAGAAAAACACTTCATTGAAGAGACATTTATATGAAGTCTTAATTTATGTTATTTGTTAGAATAGACTTCAAATAGCACAAGATGCAAAAACGATTTCCAAAATATTCTCTTTCCTATTCCTCAAACAGAAAAGTTTCAAAGAGTTCTGTTGAGGATAGCAACCTATAACAATGTCGTAGTTTTCGTAACGAAGAATAAAACTACGATGATTTTTTTTATTTTTGTTGTTTGAAATCTTTATTGATTTTTATGGTTCTAAAATTTTCTGTTTGTTTTTGTGCATTTGTGCCGAACACAAGTTTACCAAAAAAAAACCCAAACCATTTATAGGATTGGATTTTTTTAAAAAGCTGTTCAAGTTTGAGAAGGATATGACAATAAGTGGGTGAGTGACTAAATTTTATGCATAATACACAATTATTTGTATGTCAAGTTGTATTAATGCATCATGGAGATGAATTTAGATATTCTACACATTGGTCATAATATTATTATTATCACGTCTCGTGAATATATAAATATCCAAGGGAAGTCAACAATGAAATTGTGACTAAGAAGCAGGTCATTCCTGGTTATATCCCTTTAAACGTTTTTGCCACATCCCCTTCTCTCCAGCGAGACACTCGTGTAATACCACTCTTACAATAGAAGATGTCCATTAGTAAGCAGGGTTTGTGTTAATGCTTTCGATCACAAAATCCATTCTAAATACAACCCCAACCCCCCCAAAAAAAAAACAACAAACAAACAAACAAAAACAACCAAAAACATAAACAGCTCACACTCAAAACAATAACAACAAAAAAACCCAAAGACCTTGATGTGTCCCAAAGCAACACTGGATAATTATGTAGCGCAGTGTAGCATATTGTACTAAGAATGGAAAGAATGTTTGCAGACAGATATTTTGAGTAAATTAATGAATACACTAGTTGGTGACTGTATAAAAGCCAAGCATTCGAGTTTCTGATGAAATAAGT